CACATATATATATATATATATATATATATATATATATTCAATAGGTTCTAAATTGTAAGTCATCAAACAATAAAGCGGTGCATGCAAACATTTATGAGCACAAAATGTAAGGAAAAGAAACTCTAAAGTTTGATATTGTTTTCTTATTAGTGGATACTGTTAGAACTCGTGACTTGAATTTTATTGGGCTTAGATCTAAAAGTTTGTAGTGCGGCACATGTGATACAATCTAAATTACTGAAAAAATTCTAGGGGATTTGTGAAGATAGAGTATTCTGTGGGGTCATGTTATGATGGCGAACACTCCACTTATTACTCTCTTTTCTCTTAACAAAGTGGATTATTTTTCTCTGCCCATAAATTTTCCAGCCTAGAGTTTTTCATATAAATCTAGGTGTCTGTTGATTTATGATTATGACTTATTTATTCATTATTATAATTATTCTTTCAGCTGCAAACCTAGGAATAGTCTAAAGCCCTATAGCAAAGTTTACAGCTCCTTACTCTTTTCCTTCATCTCATGAAAAAGGTTGTTGCATACCAATGCTTCCGAATGACTTCTATATCCATTTTAAACGAAGATCTCCCATAGTTTTCTTTCAACAACCCAAACGAACACAGAAAATCAAATCTGCTAACTTTAGTATGTCATCATATAAGTTTTCAAAGAACAAACCTTCGTATAGGTTCTCATGGGTTGTGACTGGTTAGCCCACATTGCTTGGCTCAACGTCCCAACCTCACTAAAACAAGTATCACCAGAGCATCCAGGATTGAATGACATATCTTGCATGCTAAAAGTCTGAGAGCTGACAGCAGCAGTTGAATCATTCTCAACATCCCTCTGATTACAGTAACTCGGCAAGAAGTCTTCCATATCCTTTCCTGAACTGAGTCCCCTTGATAGCACTGGGTACTGCAGCAAAATATCCGTATTGGTTCCTGTAAGAAGATCATTATGAGGATTATGTCGAACATCTGCATCCAAACATACAGGAGAAAGTGAAAACCCTTCCTGTGAGATGCCATCCAAGCAAAAAGAACTTGTAGAAGAAGAAATATTATTAGTCTCTTTGATCACTTGCGTTTCATGCTTGTTCTGAAGTTCATGCAGCACTTGACTAGGTAACCCAGAGATTTGGCAAGTACTGGAAGGTGAGGTAGAGCATGAGGGTGCATTACTTTTGGATGGTGAAGGTGAAGTTCTGGCAAGTAATTGAGGATTTGAGTGACCTGCGATGTGGTTTGCAGATAATCGCTGGAAATATTGCTGTTTATGAAGTTGCTGGTTCTGCACTGGCAGCTGTTGAGAAAGCTGAGAATGTGGTTGAGCACTAAGCTGAGACAGCACTTGCTGGTGTTGGAGCTTCTGTAAAAGTTGCATCTTTGTCTGCTGCTGCTGGAATAGAGAATACTGTTGCAGGTCCACAGGTTGTTGGGAGCTGGAATTAGATTGAAGAAGCACTGGTGGCTGAACTGTGGTCTGGTTCAATAAGATTTCTTCCGGCAGAGGGTGAGAGTTTTGTTTCTGTAGTACTTGTTGCTGCTGCATCTGATAAGCAGATGGCTGAAGTTGTTCATTGAGTAACTGTGCTTGAGTTAAAATTTGCTGCTTTTGTGCATCAAGCTGCTGCTGATCCTGTTGTTGGTTGTAATTTTTCTTCTGTTTTAAATGTTGCAGACGTTCTGCCATCGGCTGCTGCTGCTGCTGCTGCTGCTGCTGCTGGAATTGGATCTCAGTGGAAGTTTGCTGCTGTAGATTTTTGAGTTGATCAGACTGTTGGCTTTGTGGATTTAATTTGAAACCGCCTTGATGATTTGGAACAGATGAAGCTTGAGACTGGAAACTCAATAGTTTTGTAGAATCATTGCAGATGAGGCTATCTGGAATAGATGCGGCCAAGGAGGGAAGGTAGGTTGGCTGGGAGAAATTTAGCTGAGAATTTTGCTGCATAGCCATCCACTGGACCAGGCTCAGACCAGGGAACAGTTGACTCTGAGTAGATTTTAAGCCAAAATCATCCCCAAGACATGGGATGGCGCTTTTAAAGGTATTCTCTGCTTCAGCCTCAACATCTGCATATTCACAAAAAATGGAAACTCAGAATATAAAATGCAAATACAGAAATAACGTATATCTTTTGAATTAGTTCTTCAAACATACAGTTTTGAAAGACATAGACCATATTAAAATATTTCACAAATAAACTGAAGTTTTTCATGATGAATCTATAATAAAAATGGCCATAGTGAAGAAACAAAAAAAGATAAGTAGTGCTAGCTTTTTCTTCCAGATGCTTATTCATGCTTCTATACCCTAACCTATATTTACTTTTGGCCAAAAAAGAGGTATTATGCCTCTTTATTTTAATAAATAACAAGCTTGATAACCTGAATAGACAAGAAAATAAAAAAGACTCTTTATTTTAATGATCCTCATTCTAGTTTAAAGAAGAATATCCTCTATACTCTTTATTTTAATGATCCTCATTCTAGTTTAAAGATGACCATAGAAAAGAAGAAGAAAAGTATAATAAAGAAGAATATCCTCTATAACCAGAATATATTATATAAATAAATAGTATAGATTTCTGAAAAATATTAAGCATATGTGATTATATCCATATCGTAATATAATAATTCTAATAACTCAACACCTCACAAACTATGTGATAGCAAGAAGCATTAAGAATTTGTATAGTACATGAAGAATCCAGATATCTAAGCCAGCTAGCCAAGGGTTGTTTAACAGCTTTTCAAAATTATTACTCCCAACCAATCGATGCTAGAATAAGGCATTTTGAGTGAAAACCGAGAAGAATCCAGAAAGATTGACTCTTGACCAATCATTGTTGGGACCGAAAGAAGATAAATGCAGCTAAGAAAACAAAACAAGGAACAAAAGCAGAGAATGGGAATAAAATGGGAATAAGCTGAAAGACAGTGTCACACCAATATACTTCTGTATGTCTACTCTACAAAACAGCTTGCACAGAGAAGTATGGATATAGACAATTCGTTTATCGAGAAATGATGAGGATGAGTTGTCATGGATTCTGTTAGAGCTGTGCAGTTGACACCCATTTGTGCAGACAAGTAATGATGAGAGACCCTTTTGCTAAGAGCGCTCCTCAAGTTGATCATCGGGACTCCGGAGGGTTAGCTTATGCAAAGTTACGAAGCGGGTGGTAGGGAGAGGTTTGGTGAATTTATCCACAAATTTTTCGAGAGGAAAGGTGGTACACAATGGTGGCTTTGGAGGCAATATAATCTCAAATGTAGTAGTAAATTTTAATGTGATTAATTCTTGTATAAAAGAGAGGATTGTAAGCTAGAGAAATGGTAGGAATGTTTCTGCGTCTGCGTCTGCGTCTGTGCCGATCGACGTTTCTTGCTGTAGAAATGGCATCAAGGCGTTCCTACGACACCACCCTAGCCAGTGATAACCCCTTAGCCAGTGATAACCCCGTCTCCGCCCCTCTTTCGAATATGTTTTCGTAACGATACAATGACAATTTTGCTCTTGACACTGAAACCGAATTTCTCAAAAAAAGCTTCCCGTAAAAATGACAAACCTGCAATCTTTCTCACTGAGACAGAGATATCCACCCAAGCTGCGCCCTGCCGACTGTTCTTAGTTGGTAAGTTTCTTTATGGAAACCCTAAACTTGGCTAATTCAAAAGAACTTTGAGCAAATGATGCTGAAAGGGGGTTGGAAGATCGGTAAATTGGATGGTCGCCACATTCTTATTCAATTATCAAATGATGAAGACTACACCCATTTGTTTGCGGGAATACTTCTTCGAATAGAAAATCAGGTAATGAAGGTTTTAAAATGGACGGTGGATTTTGACCGTCGTACTAAACCTTCTACCATTCTTGTTTGGCTGCGCTTTCCAGGTTTGAAGATTGACCTTTTTGATCAAGAGTCTCTCTTCGCCTTAGCGATGGTGTACGGTAAACCCTTCAAAACTGACACGCCTACAGTGAATCAAACTCGGCCTTCAGAAGCCAGAATTTTGATAGAAATGGATATTACTTTACCTTTTCCGGGAGAAAAATGGATTGACACACAATATAACATCAGGGATTTTGGCAGCAAGCAGAACTTGAACAGATACCACTTTATTGTACAAACTGCCGTATGTTTGGACATTCTCCTTCTCAATATTATCAGTTGCATCCAAATTTAAAACCTTCAAGTAAAAACGCTTATGGATCTGCCCCACCTCATACATGTCCCTCCTCCGCTCCTGAGTGCATTCCACAGACTATTGAAACACCGGTTAACACGATGCCACCTCCCCCTCCCACTACCAGAGACAATGCTATCTTTGTTCTTCCGACTGATATATTGGCAGATGGGTTACTTGGGCTCGATAATCAGGATAGTATTGAAGCTCCACATCCCTAGAATGCATCAGGTGTTAAAGAGACATGCTTACCATCTCTTCAGAATCATAATGTTGTTACTGCTAGTCAGGAGCTGGGGCTCATTCTCTCCTACATGTCCAACAATCTGTTGACCACACCGATCAGATGAGCCAGTCCTCGGATGAGGAATGACAGGTTTACACATACAGAAAGAAAAAGAAGAATGAGAGTCAGTCCTCGGATGAGGAATAGCAGGTATACACTTCTAGAAACAAAAAAAAGAATGGAGACACACCTCAGCTTAACTTAATGGATGATATTCTAGTAACTTCGGGTAATAGAACGACACTCAGCAATTTGTTAGTTGTCTCCGCTCCTAGAACCAGAGGCAGAAACAAGACCAAATTGGCTCGTGCCTAACAACTTATTTCATACAAGTTTTGTTTTTTTTTGTGTTTTATCTATGATTCATCATTTTACGATGCTAGTGTCTGATGTTATATGGGTAGGGCACCTTTTTTGGGTCATCTCATACAATCTCTATGTATCTTTTCAATTTCAAAAAAATTAGCCCTTGGGCGTTTATAAAAAAAAAATGGTAGGAATGTTGTCACAGCAGAGAGAAGACAAAAAAGGGGGGTGTCGAATTCCTGCAACAACGATGCAACCAAAGAATATCAGTTGTGGTTGTTGCTAGAGCTTGGTATTTAACCTCAATGGAAAAGAGGGCCACTGTTGTATATTTCTTCGCATTACAAAAAATCAAGTTATTTTGATATGTGTAATAACTAATGGTGGATTTTCTTTGAATGATGCCACCAGCCCAATCGGCCTGTGAGTAGGAGTAGAGAGTGAGAGGTCCTTTGGTGATTGTTGGACCATATTGGAAGGTTCCACGCAGGAATCAAAGAAAAAGGTGAAGAGCAATGGTGAAAAGAATGCGAATTGTGGGCATTTTAGCCACTGGACTAAATGATTTTTGTAATCTAGACATGGTTTTTGATTGAAGCTTTGTGCCAAAAATCGTGATTTGTAGCCAGCTACGGTGCCATTTGAATTGATTTTAGTGTGATATGTCCATGGAGAACCAAGGACAGTGTAGTTTAGAGAGTGTGGATCTAGAGATTATTTTCTATTGAGTGTAATGTGTAAATTAAATAATAAAAAAATATTATAAAAAATTTAGTTGTTTTGCAGGTTTATTATAACTAATTATATAATTTGGACAGGATATTTTGGAGAAAAATACAAAATTTCAATTTTAGCACCTCGGATCTGTCCATTCAGAGTCGTAACGCTATATCTAGCAGAAAAAGGCCAAGAAACACAAGGGTTTAGCACCACATCACTATACTTTGGCACTAGGGTGCTGGAAAACCTGCGCCTCAATGTTAACCATATAGTGCCAAAGCGTTAGAATGCTAAAAACAAGTTCTAAAAAGCCAAGAGTTTGGTCTCGCAATCTCAGAATAGCGAGACAAGTGACTTTCAAGTTTGAGTTCGATGGTGACGACAAGCGAGCGGTCTACGGTGGGCCAAAAGAGGAGTACAAGGGCGGCAGGCAAGCGACGAAGGGCGGCAAGCATACCACAATGGTGGGTTGGGCTGCACCGAAAGTTTGACAAGCTAATCATAGCTTGACTTGATAATAGCTCGTTCACGTTCATATGATTATTAATTGAAAAGTTTTGAACACTTTTATAAATGCCCGTTTGTTAAATGAACAAGCTTAAACAACTCCCTCTTTGATTCATTTATGTTTACAAATATCATTCAAGGCTCGCAAACAAGCTCATTAAAAAACTCAATAAACATTTTGACTTAAAGTTAATGAATATATTGATTAAAGCTCAATTTAATGCTTATGATGAATAAGATTGTTAAAGCTTAATTTAAGCTTGTGAATAACATCAATTAAATCTTAATTTAGAACACATTTATATTAAATTAAAATTTTAATTTGTAGCACATAAAATAAGATAAAGGCATGTTCGTTTAGTTCATTTATTTTTTGCATTTATATACTTAATTTTAATTATTCATATAGTAGCTCGATCATTTAAAAGCTCATTTATAATTGTAAGTTAAACAAATAACTCATTTATAAGTTCGATATAACTCACTTGATTAAAAAATAAATAGCTCAATTATATTACTTATTAGTTTGTTCAACAAGTCCCAGCTGATTAAAAAATAAATAGCACGATGACAATTTAAATTTACTCAATAAAAATCATTTGGATAGAAATTAAGTAGCTTGATAATGCTACTCATTAATCTACTTAATAATGATGAGATTATCATTATATGAAACAAACATAAAATAAACTCAAACAATTGAAATGAAAAATGAACTAAGCATAAATATAAACATAAAAGCTTGATTAGAGCTTGAGCTTGATATTTCTAAACAAGCTCAAGCTTGAACACAACCCCAAAAGCTTGGTTTGAGCTTGAGCTCGAATTTTTTGAATAAGCTCAAGCTTGAACACAGTCCTACTCAACTCGCCTCAATTCATTTGCAGCCCTAGTGGCGGGTAGTGTCGTCACTTTACACAAAATAGTGCATTTAAATTTAACCAAATCTAACGAATCTCAAATACATTCAAAATGTACCAGAGATTAAATTCCAAATACAATGAAATTTTACACTGCATTTGCTTTTCTTCCAACCAAACACATAAATTTTTAAACCCCTATA